GCCACTACACTCCAGCCTGGGTGACAGAGCAAGACTCCATGTCAAAAACAAAAACCAACCAACCAAACAAACAAAAAACTATTTTTGGGCCAGGCACTGTGGCTCATATCCATAATCCCGGCACTTTCGGAGGTCAAGGCGGGCAGATCAGCTGAGGTCAAGAGTCAAGACCAGCCTGGCCAACATGGCAAAATCCTGTCTCTACTAAAAATACAAAAATTACAGGCAGGTGCGGTGGCTCATGCCTGTAATTCCAGCACTTTAGGAGGCCGAGGCAGGTGGATCACCTGAGGTCAGGAGTTTGAGACCAGCCCAGCCAACATGGTGAAACCCTGTCACTACTAAAACTACAAAAATTAGCCAGGCATGGTGGTGCATACCTGTAATCCCAGCACTTTGGGAGGTTGAGATGAGCATATCACCTGAGGTCAGGAGTTCAAAACCAGCCTGGCCAACATGGCAAAACCCTGTCTCTACTAAAAATACAAAAATTAGCTGGGCATGGTGGCGGGTGCCTGTAACCCCAGCTACTTGGAAGGCTGAGGCAGGAGAATCACTTGAACCTGGGAGGCAGAAGTTGCAGTGAGCCGAGATTGTGCCACTGCACTCCAGCTTGGGCAACAGAGGGAGACTCTGTCTCAAAAAAAAAAAAGAAAAGAAAAGAAAAGAAGAGATGCCCACTATTTTAAACTACCTTTTGAAAAGCTGAAATACAGTAGTTACGGAAAATGAATGTAGTATCTTGTACCATGTCAAACAAATCTTTACAGGACCAATTTCAGTCTTAAAAAAAAAAAGCAATATACTTAAAGGGTCACTTACCATTTATGGATTCTTTGAAATAACTGTCAATTTCATCATCCAGAACATTTGTTTCTTTATTTTCTCTTATAAAATTCAGTAGAATGTTAGCTTCTGGTGTATCTTAAATTGAAAATGCATCATAAGTAAAAAGCAAACTGATTATCTTATTTATTTATTTATTTTTAAGACAAGGTTTCACCATGTTGGTCAGGCTGGTCTTGAACTCCTGACTTCAGGTGATCCACCCACCTTGGCTTCCAAAGTGCTTGGATTACCAACAATGTAATGTAGAATTCTGTTAACATGGAGACGATGTACACCACGTTACATCAACCACATAGGTTAGTGAAAGAGCAGCTTACTAATCTATGTGGTTGAATACCCTTTTAATTAAAAAAAATCTACAATATAAATACAAAATTATTTGGAAGAATATATATAAAAAATGATTCTTGGCCGGGCGTGGTGGCTCACGCCTGTAATCCAAGCACTTTGGAGGCCAAGGTGGGTAGATCACCTGAGGTCGGGAGTTCAAGACCAGCCTGACCAACATGGTGAAACCCCGTCTTCAAAAAAAAAAAAAAAAAAAAAGAAAAGTAAAGTAAAAAATGATTCTTTCTAGACAGTGGGATTGTAGCTGATCTTTGTTTTCCTTGTTTATGTTTTTATATATTTTTTCTGAATTTTATATGTATTTCTTTATTCATCAGAAAAAAATATTTCAAAAGGCAATTGAAATACATAAAATAGGCCATACAAACACCCTTACTCCTCACATTGGGACACAAGTGTGCTCAAGAGTTGGAGGTGCTGTGCCAGAAGGCAGGAATGTGAGTTTAGAAATAACTCAGGCATGATTTCCTTGGACCCCAGGTCCCCAGCCTCCGGCATGTGAATGTTAAGTACCCCAGACCACCTTGAATATTCTACGACAATGTCTGTACTTTCCTATCTCCCCCAGGAAGATTGGGCATTTCTTCCTCCTTGCTCCCGGAATACAAGTCTCATTATACCTGTTTTTTCTCAGAACTAGGTTGCCAAATTGTCACCAGCAGGTTGTATCCCACATGATGACTACCCTTACATCCTTCTGACCAGCACTCAACTCATTCCTTGTTCCAGAAATTTATATTGTCTCAATACTTGGCAAGTAAAAGGCATTATAAAATATTTATAAATTCATGCGTGAATGAATGAATGTAGAACTCTGTTAACATGGAGAGATGTGCATCATGAATTACTGTACTTCATATCAGAGCACTTGCTGGGGCAAAGCCACAGAGACCCAACCAACCAGCTTCCCGTGATGGGGGTTGGCAGGGATTGGTTAGTACCACCACGGCAGGTCCTCACTGACAATAGGGTTATTCTGACTGTCAGAGAAAGGCAGGAATTGTGCCCTCCCTATCTGAGAAGTACTCTCAGGACAGAGAAATAAACAAGGGAATCTTGACATCCTAGGATAAACACAAGCCATTTACAGCTTCTTAATTTCTATAAGGCAGATGTAACCCAGGATATTAAAAGTAAAGCTAATATAACTATTTATAATAGCAAAGGCATGGAACCAAAATGCCCCTCAATGGTAGACTGGATAAAGAAAATGTGGTACAAATACACACCATGGAAAGCAATGCAGATATAAAAAGGAATAAGATCATGTCCTTTGCAAGGACATGGATGAAGCTAGAAGCCATCATCCTTAGCAAACCAATACAGGAAAAGAAAACCAAACACCACATGTTCTCACTCTTAAGTGGGAGCCAAACAATGAAATAACATGGACACAGGGAAGGAAACAACACACACTGGGGCTTGTCGGGGGGTCGGGGGCAAGGGGAGGGAGAGCATCAGGACAAATAGCTAATGCATGTGGGGCCTGAAACCTAGATGATGGATCGATAGGTGCAGCAAACCACCATGGCACATGTGTACCTATGTAACAAACCTGCATGTTCTGTACAAGTATCCTAGAACTTAAAGTAAAATTAAAAAAAAAAAGTAAAGCTGATATAAAGTAGCACACAAATTCACGCATCGTTAACGAGTATTTTCCTTTAAATTTGTTTCCTTGATAGAATAAATCCAAGAGATCTAGATCTGCTTTCCAACATGGTGGCTATGAATAATAACAACATATTATATTCTTGAAAAGTACTCGGAGAACAGATTTTGAGTGTTCTCACCACAAAAAAAATTATAAATATGAGTAGTGCATATGTTAATTAGCTTGATTTAGCCATTCTTCAATGTATACATATTTCAAAACAACTTACTGTATAAAATAAACGGATTCCATTTTTTGTCAATTAAAAAGTTAATAAATTTTAAAAATGTGTCTCCTGGCTGGGCACAGTGGCTCATGCCTGTAATCCCAGCACTTTGGGAGGCTGAGGCAGGTGGATCATGAGGTCAGGAAGTCGAGACCATCCTCGCCAACATGGTAAATACAAAAAATTAGCCAGTCATGGTGGTGTGTGCCTGTAGTCCCAGCTACATGGGAGGCTGAAGCAGGGGAATCACTTGAACCTGGGGGGCAGAGATTGCAGTGAGCCAAGATCATGCCAACTGCACACCAGGCTGGGTGA